ATAGACAGGGCGAATCCTGAAATAAAGAATAATCCTAGTGCCAAACAAGACAACTAAGTTGCATGATAGCAATCAGTGGAATCGTCAACATAGGGCCATAACCTGAGAGAATCGGGAAGCGCCAAGTCCAATTAGGATGGCTCAGGGGCCAACTATATATAGGCTGACTAAGTCGGGACGCTAAACCTAAACGGGATGGAATCCTGACAGGGAATTGATTGGTGTTGGATGCAAACACGTCAACAAAGGAACATCACGTGAAACCTCCGTTGTGTTGCGAGCAAGGTTTTCTGCTAGGCCCAAACAGGGGCTTACAAAGCACTGCTAACCCAAAGTACGGATAACCGGCGTACGGGCATATTTGACATCTTACAATATGCCCAATTCTAGAGCACTATACTGCTTATTCAGGCGAAGCTGGCGCACAAACCGAGCTAATCTCATTTGTCTTAGTTTACTAGTAAAACCCCCCATAAAAAAGGACAGCTAGATAGATCCGATTTTCTTAGAGACTCGTGCACAATACAATATTATGCCGTTGCCTAGTAAGCACCCTTTGGCTCGAAGAGATGTTACAGGCTTCAGATTGAATCAGACAGCGCAAATACGGGGCTCAGCCAGGCTAATTCGAGCATTTTCCAAAATGAGGAAAGACTGTGGCTATGCGTTGATGGCGGAACACTCGGTGTTCCATATTTCATTCATTCCTCCAACCAAGACAGCTGATTTAGCGCCGAGTGGATCATGCCCTCTCCATGTGCGATGTATGCTCCAGAGTGGTGATGCATTCTCCAGACTGGTGATGTATCCTCCAGACATCACCACCTCTCTAAAATGCACTCACGCTAATCACCACCTCGTCCAAGCGGCATCACCCCCCATCACCCACGAGGGCACTCACCCGGGTATTGACCGCGTTCAAGCCACACGCCGGCCGGTTAGTAGTTGGGTGGGTGACCACCAGCGAATCCCCGCTGTTGTATGTTTTTTCCACTGTTTTTGCCTCCTGATATCTGCTTTTGCTCTTTGCTATTTTCACTCAGATAGTCCTCATTGGTGTCTGAATTTCTTCACTCAGTTAATTCTCCTCGCTGAAAATGTGTTTCTGACCCTCTTGACTGTCCTTGTCGCTGGCCTTAGGTCCTAGGCTAAGCCTAGAAAGACAGTGATCAATAGGATTTGTTTAGACAGCATGTTGGAGCTAGCTATGCTGAAATATTTCCGCTCAAAGATTTCAGTAGGGAGAAGGATGTTGGATTATCGGTCTTGCTTGGAATGCGTGTTTTCTCTATTAGGGCACAGACAGTTCCACCTGCTCATCATTGCATTCCAGCTGAGATCCATGTAAGGCACAAGCAGGCATACACTTAATCTCGACTTGGTCGTCTAGGGTCAGGCTCTAAGCGGGCAAACTAAGAAGGATACTGCGGTAATATAGCCTAAGTATTATCAATAAAAATTGCCTCAAACAGCTGAGAAAAGGATGCTTTCTGAGCCATCATACTTATGCCAGGATACCCAAGGAAATGAAGAAGTACATGCTATGAATATTACTTGTGCCATGACTAGTAGCAGTCAACGACGGCTAGGCGCCCAGACTGCCAAGATATCCAAGACTCCCAAGAGCTGACAAGCATCGACAAGCATCAATGAAGTGGTCTAGTCTATTCTTAAGCGACCTGCCAATATTGCGATAATGAGTTGATAGATATGACATAGACTCTGATGGCATGAGGACTGGCCTATCCGCCATGTTTTGAGTTCGTCGTTTCTTTCCCCATTTTCTCTTCTTTTCCGGCAGAGAAACATATTACCTCATAGAATACAGGCCTGTTAGTATTTTCGCGAACCCACTCAGGTAAATTACGGTCCTGTTGTAGCAAAAACATGAGCGTAAAAAAACAAAAAGCAGAAGGTAAAAAGCGACGGATCAGATAAGATAAGATCTCAATCAGATAATCGAAACCGCCCAACTGTCGCACTTGGTAAACCCGAAAGTATATGTCGGACGTCGGGCAAGAATTAGCGAGACATCGACAATTCATTTCCCATGACACAGTAAATGGATCCATCCTCAGAACACGAATAGGGACCCTTCGTCGTCGAATGTTGGCTCCTGCATCGGAGACTGTCTGAACTAAGGTCCAGTATTTTGCGAGCACGGTTTTACTAGTGCGATAGGGGGAGGAATTTCCGCCAGCCATACAGAGTTACAGTATGGAATTGAAACGAAAGATAGACCATCGTTATGTTCTGTCACATCCCTTTCACTGCCATTTCCTGGTTCTGCCCGGCTGAAGCCACCTCATTACTAGTAGGAGAGGGTGTGCGTCAGTGAACGAGGCCCACTTACGTTAGTCCGACCGTCAGAGACGAATTTTCCACTTCCAGTTTACGTGACTAAACCATGACAGTGTTATCAGATGAGTGGATCTGGTTTCGGGCCACATTTCCAACTTGTCCCAAGCGCTGATAGACCAGGACATGGCGTTAGCGTCGAGCCGAGTGTGCCGACTGTGTGGCCCTTAGTCTTCGATAGGCTCCTGCTCATGCGCTAACAGCAAGCATGATAATTCATAAGAGAAGAAGAGTCCCCCCTTCTACGACCCATGTTCACTCCATTTTTTGTAGGCCAACCAACGCCATGGCCTTCTTTACCAGACTACGCGCCCCCTTCCGCCGATCAACGACAGGCGAGACAGACCCTGCCGTTTCCATGAGCGCAGCGGAGCCCCCCAAGCAGGAGGCCAACGTTGAAACTGGCAGTGCCGTCGCCAGAAACGGCGATTCTGACACTGATGGGCATCCTGTCCCCGACCATGGTCAACATGGTGTCCATGATGTCGAGGCTGTGACCAGAACATGGTCTAAGGCGTCGTTGATTGCTGTCTTTATCAAGTAGGTGCTCGACTCGACTTGACTGCTTCCCTTCATTTTCCCGAAACAGGCTCTGATTCAATATGGTCCACCATAGCATCTGGTTCCTATACTTCGTCAATGCATTCCAATCGCAGATTCTTTCCAACTTGCTCCCGTATGTCACTAGTGATTGGGAATCTCATGCGCTCTTGAACGTCATCTATGTTGTTTCCGACGCCATGACCGCAGCCTTGTTTATTCCCTTGGCCAAGATAATGGATGTTTGGGGAAGAGCGGAGGGCTTCCTCTTCATGGCCATTCTGTCGACTGTGGGCCTGGTGATGATGGCCGGATGTCATAACCTGCCTACATTTTGTGCTGCCTATGTAAGGCTGCCATGAGGGTTGAAGTTCTGTCTGCTAATCCTGGCGATCGTAGGTTTTCTACAACATTGGTTTCTCGGGCATCACCTTCTGTGTGGATGTCATCACGGCCGACTCGTCCAAGTTGAAAAACCGAGGCCTGGCGTACGCTTTTACCTCTTCCCCGTACATTATTACGGCGTTTGCAGGCCCCAAGGCCGCGGAAGATGCTCTCGCGCTTAACTGGCGGTGGGGATTCGGTGCCTTTGCGATCATCTTCCCTGTCGTGGCGTCACCTCTGTACTGCATTCTCAAATACAACCTTCGCAAAGCCGAAAAGGAAGGCCATTTGCGAAGGGAAAAGAGCAACCGTACGGTGATGCAAAGCATCTGGCATTGGACCATGGAGTTTGATCGTAAGTCGCTCGTCCATCCCTTCACATCAAGTACAGACTAACTCCGTCGCTAGTGATCGGTGTCTTCCTGTTCTCAGCCGGTCTTGTGGTTTTCTTCCTGCCCTTTGATATCGCTACTAGCGCGCCGGATGGCTGGGGGACGGGGTATATAATCGCCATGATAGTGGTGGGATGCGTCATGCTCGTCATCTTCATCCTGTGGGAGACATTCTGTGCCACGGCCCCTCTGCTCAAGTTCAGCTTCTTGTCAGACCGGACCGTCATTGGTGCCTGCTTGCTCGATGCCACCTACCAGCTCTGCTACTACTGCTGGAATAACTACTTCACCTCCTTCCTGCAGGTTGTCAACGACCTCAGCGTCTCCAACGCAGGCTACGTGAGCAACACCTTCGACGTCGTTTCCGGGGTGCTCCTCCTGTTCGTCGGATGGCTCATCCGTCGGACCGGCCGGTTCAGGTGGCTGTTGTTCGTCGCGGTGCCGCTCTACATCTTCGCCCAGGGTCTCATGATCTACTTCCGTCGGCCGAATCAGTCGGTCGGATATCTGGTGATGTGCCAGGTGTTCATCTCCATCGGTGGCGCCGTGTTCATTATTGTCGAGCAGCTGGCGATCCTGGCGGCTGTTGATCACCAGCATGTTGCGGCTACTCTGGCCCTTCTCAACGTCGTGGGAACCGTTGGCGATGCGATCGGCTCCACGATCTCCGGGGCTATCTGGACGAATACCTTTGAGCATGCGCTGTCCATGTACCTCCCGTCCTCGGCGTTGCCCGATCTAGAGGATATCTACGAGAATCTCGACACCCAGCTTAGTTACCCGGTTGGCGGCGCCGTGAGGCTGGCTATCCAGCATGCGTACGGCTATGCGCAGAGCAGAATGCTGGCGGCGGGCACGGCCATCATGGCTTTGTCGCTCATCTGGATGTTTATGATTCGTGATATCAATGTTGGAAAGGTGGCTCAGGTTCATGGAACGGTCTTTTAGATGATCGCGAGCTGGCTACTTTAGCATATGCTCCATACACTGCTGCTTTATGTGGCTTGAATCATACCCAAAGCCCGTGTTGTCTTCATCCGGCTGTTCTACCTTTTCCTTCTTCCGTAAATCGTATCAAATAGGCGAGAACCTCATAATAGCCCTTGAATAAGTATGACTGTGGTATAATCCTACGGTCGGCCGCCGCATTGATGTGAGGAGCATCGACTGCTGGGTTTGGAGCAAGGGCTGAGCCATATCTTCTGGAATTCTCACACTGATGCTAATGTCAGCTATACTGAAAACTGTCCCGTGAACTGCCTTTATGTCCCGTCAGGAACCTCTCCATGACCTCCTGCTCCAGATACAGTGCCACATCCACTCCGTTATCGTCCCACCCCGAGTCCATAACCTGCACTTCCCCATCCAGCTTGGGCAGAACGGCATGCACATACCGCGGGCGGTTCCCATCTCCCACAAAGTCCACTTCGTAGACTTTCAGTCGCAGCCAGGAGGTTACAAGGACATGTCGGGACCCCAAGAACGCCTGCCACAGCCGCTGCGGGGAGATCTCGTACGCGGCATCGTGGAGCATCGCGCCAATCTTCTCCGGCGTGAATAGGGCCAATGTCTCTCGAACTTGGCTGGCGATGGTTCCGATGGATGCAGCGCAGAGGGACTTTGCTGATGCGCCTACGTGAGTGAGGAAGAGCGGTGATCCGAGGAATGTGTCGGGTAGAGGAGGCGAGACGCGTGTCCGGGTGCCGATAGAAAGATCCATGAAGACGGAGTCAGGGCAATCGCCGAGTTTTCTGGCTCGGTTGATGGAAATCCAGAGGTGAGCTAACAATGCGTCAAGTCGAGAGATATCGCCTCGACCATCCGCCTGCGCTTTCCGTTTAAACTCTGCCAACTGTTCGCCAGAGAAATGGATCTGCGTATAGCGGATTGGCCTGGACAAATCCCACGATGTCCACGGTGCAGATGTCGACGGAGACAGTTCCAAGCCGTCCAGTAACTCCGGAGCAGGCATCGAGTTCACCGTATTGGGCACCATCCACTTCGAATATCCCGGATCGTCCGTCTTCCACCAGTCGAACCGGTGCAGTGGCAGTTCACGCGCTGCGGCAATCAGTCCCGAATCCGGCGCTGGGCCGTCAATATCCCCGGCAGCATGGGCGTCTAAGAGCCCTGGATTGAAGACTGGAGCGCCCATCAATGACTGTGTGTATTCCGAACCAAACGCCGCTCTACTTGCAGCCGCCCACTGATGCACAAACACCATCAAAGTCTGAGCATCGGCCAGGACATGCGCCATTCGGATTGCAATTGCGTATCCGCGGTCCTTTAATAGTGTGATTTGCACTTGCATACCGGGTAATCCCTGATATTCACGCAGATCATGCAACGCCAATGGGGTATCCGATAGGAAATCTCTCTGGGGAAAGTCGTCTCCATGCCAGGTCCCCACAGATGCTCTTTCTGTGGCAGAAGGTACCAGCGATTCAATTGACATCTGATCGCGTTTGACGATGCGCCACTCAACGCCAGGGTCATTAGGCGTCCCGTAGACGATCATGGGCCGGTTGAAGCGCTCGGTGTGAAGGCCGTTTTCTCGAACTGGGGCCCATTGCAGCTGGCCGGCCCATTGAGGGTAATCGGATAGTGTTTGAACAAAAGAGGATTCGAGACGATTGATGAAACCTTTTTCTGTGGTATTCTCGGGGAAACTATCGAATAGCCAGATTGCGCCTGTTGGAGCAAACCGGGCAACGGTAGCATCGAGGATGGATAAAGGAGTAGTGATGGGTGAAGCAGGGGGAGAATGAGGAACAAGATGAGCTTTGTACAGTTCCATCTTCTCTGTTACTTGATGATCTCTTGTTGAGTTCTGACCTCTTAGGGGAGGCTATCTCCTGTATATATTCGAAGTAAAGGGATACCACCATAGGTACGCTAACGGCAGTACTCTCCTGACTCGACCACTTAGATAATGTGTATAGATGATGAGCCAGAATGAGTCAGACTAGTCACTAGAGATTCTCTAAAAGTCTCGTCCCGTGTGCTCAGCCACATCGCACGGCTATACGAACAGCCCAACCATATCCTGGTCTCTGCCTTCAAAAACTACGGTTGTTATTCAACCAATAACATCCAGACTCTTTTCGACAAGAAAACACTCTTATCGCTTTATTAAGTCTTATGCGATGTGTCCAATTACTCGGGTGTGCAGATCCAACATCCAGCCGTTTCATGCCGTTTTTATTGGACGAGTGTGTGATGGCACGCCTAAGAGCGGGGTACTGTCGTCGCTACTGCAGGATGAGTATCGTCGATGGACGGAATCATCCTATCTCAGCCATGGCATCAGAGGCTGACGACTGCAAGCCGCGTCATTCGTCGGCATGTATCGCATATCTAGTGTTACTGTGTGGAACGTCAGGTATAAATGCAACGGACATCTGCTTTACCAAGTCTACATAGCTTTCGCGAACTACCCAAAGGAGAGTAAAAATCAATCAATATGCTTGACTCATCAACCGTCTGGTTCAGTATGTACCCACTCTCTATACACCGGCCTTAAGCTGACATCGCAGTCACTGGCTGCTCATCTGGCCTGGGCAAATCCCTGGCAGGTCTCATCCACGGCGCCGGCCATCGGCTTGTGGCCACAGCTCGCAACGTGGACGCCCTCTCCTACCTCCCTGATGACCCAAATGTGCTCAAGCTCAGCCTGGATGTCACCTCGAAGCCAGCCATCCATGACACCCTGTCCGCCGCGGTGGCCAAATTCGGCCGCCTCGATGTGGTGGTCAACAATGCCGGCTACGTCCTCATGGGCGATACAGAAGCTATCCCCGAGTCCGACGCTCGTCTCCAACTCGACACCATTTTCTGGGGCCCTGCTCTCATCTCCCAGGAGGCCGTTCGCATCTTCCGCGAGGTCAACCCCGCCGGGGCTGGCGGGACCATCGCGCAGATCTCCTCGATTGGCGGGTACATGGCGTTCCCCGGCAGTGCGTTTTATCAAGCCGGGAAATTCGCGCTGGGCGGGTTTACGGAATCCTTTGCCAAGGAGATGCATCCCGACTGGCGGATTCGGTTCTTGGTTGTCGCGCCGGGCGGGATCAAGTCCAACTTTGGGGGCAATGGGCAGTTTGTTCCCAGGCATCCGGCGTACGATACCCCCGACGGCCCGCTCAATCAGTTGTTGAAGTACATGATGGATCCGGCGGCTCAGGCGTCCTTCTCAGAGGCGGATCGGTGCGCCAAGGCACTCTTTGATGTCCTTGTTGGGCAGGATGAGCGGCGATTGCCGGGGAGGTTGCTGCTAGGACCGGAGACGATCCCGTTGTTGGAGGCTGAGATGCAGAAGTCTCGGCAGGAAATGGAGGCGTGGAAGGACGTGACCGTCAGCACTTCGTCAACGGGTGGTGCTAAGGATGTGCCGACTCTATGATCTTATGTGTACGGTCTTGACTTGTTCGTGCATTGTTCCATAATATCTATAAATCAACTACAGATTCCAATCCACGCAGAAGATCCGCCTTCAGGTCATCCAGATGCTCGACTCCAATACTGAACCGCAGCAGCGTCGGTTTCGCCGTCGAATCCACCAGCCTCCTCCATTCGAGCTGACTCTCCACGCCACCGAGAATAGTCGCATGCTGGAGCAGCCGCAAAGCACCAGGAAGCCGCCGACCCATCGCCTCGTTCTTCATTTCCACGGCAAATACCGCCCCAAACCCGTTCGGCATCTGCTCCTTCAACCAATCCATATCCTCGTCCTGTAGACTAGCATGCCGCACGACGTCCACTGTCCTCTTAACCACATTATCCCCTTCACTTTCCAGCCATCCCGCCAACCACCGAACCAGCCCCGTGGCATTCTCACTCTGCCTGCACACCCTCAACTCCAGCGTCCGCAGACTCCGCAACCCCAGCCACCCCTCCATACTCCCCAGCACACTCCCGAGAATCGTCCGCTGCTCGCACAGCGTCGCGAACCAATCCCGTCGGCCCGGCGGCACAGTCAGCGTCCCACAGAGTAGATCATGGTGCCCACCAAAGTACTTCGTCCCGCTGTGCACGACCACATCCGCCCCAAGCGCAAACGGATCCTGTAGCCCCGGCGGGCCAAACGTCGCGTCAACCACCAGATACGCACCGTGCTTGTGCGCCTCGGTAGCGTAGTACCGGATGTTTGCCGCTTCGCCGGTAGGATTGATTGGCGTTTCGAGGTGGATCACATCGCCCGCCTGGAGCTGGTCGAGCTCGTCGTAGCGGAGGATCTCGCAGCCCGTTAGGGATGCGTAGAGCTGGATGACCTGTCGGCTGCCGTGGTAGCCTTCGCCGATGGCGACTCGTCGGGGCCGTAGGCCGATGAGGTAGGCGTGGACGGCTGCTACGCCGGACGAGTAGGTGAGTGTTGGGCCGTGGATGAGAGCCGAGAGGACGGTCTCGAGGCGGGTGCGGGTTGGGGCGCGGTGGCGGGAGTAGTTGAAGTCGCCGATCTGGATGCGTCAGTCTGCTGATGGGGGGCGGGGGGGTTATAGTTATCGTACGGATACTCATCGGTGCCGTCCT